TGCTGTGATTTGTCTGTAGAAAGATATTTTCCCTCATTTTCTCATTATTTTAATTTTTTTCCTAGACTCTCCTTAGAAAAAGAAATAATGAAGTTTGTACTACTCTTACACCTTAATTAATTTTTTGAATGAAAGAGCAACCTTCCTATTAGATGTCTCGATTTTAGCCTCATTTCTGTTTCTGACATACAAATGAACTTTTTGTCACTAGCTTTTAATCATACATAGAAAGATCCAAAGATTTAGGGTTTTTTTAACCTGCTATTAAAATGAGAATGAGTTTTTTAATGAAAGCTACGCTGAAAGCTGGTATTTTAAAAAATGTGATCCAATACCCTTTGAAATGCTTCCTTTTATGTAATATTTTGTAAGGTTTTAGCATTGCACTGCATAAGAACAGTGTTTACAATGCGTGTTTCAAATTCACTCCTTTTATGAAAAAGACATATCTGGATTTTTAAACATTTGTAAGCTACGATAGTTGAAATTCATGAAAGCAAATAAAATTATCAGTCAGTCAATAGCTAAGGAAATGGAGATAACTAGTTGTACAGAAGAGGTAATCATGTCTGACCACTTGCTAACTATAACAAAAAATCAGGACAGTCTCGTAACAAGCAACTCTCCCAAGACTTGGCTACCTCATCTAGACTGATGAAACAGTTATTTTTCTCCAAGCTTTTCTTCTAAAAAAATCTCTTGTATTATTAGGTTTTGTTGATGGGATGTTCTGAATTGCTTCTTCTTAAAGGTGCGACTGCATTTGACACATCAATGTCAGGTCATTTGGTGTCTTATCCAATGTCCACCAAGACATTTGGAAGTCCTTTTGTTTATTTTTTTTAATTTCAACCTAATCCCATGCTGTTTGTAAAGTATGGCAATGATCTCAATAGCTCTGCTTGCATATATATATATATATGTATATATATATATATGTGCATGTATATATATTTCCCTATATTTTTTCTTAGAGATTATCCCCCATGGTTTGTGTTTTCACCCTTTGTGTGTAGAGAATTTTCGTACATATCAATATTATCTGCAGACCTGAGTAAGAATGGGAGCACAGACACCACTTAGCCTCCACTCTTTATGCATCCAAAAAATCTGCTAATGTTTCTTTTTGTTTATTTCAGGTTTCTTTTCTCCATGGAAAACTCCAAAGCCTGTAAGTTCCCTTTCAGAATTTTACACGTTGAGTTCATAAGATGCCTATCATTCAAAGCAAATTTCTGTAGACTTTCATCTAAACCTTCTGTTCCCAGCTCATGAGACACCTCTCAGCAGTGCCCCAACTGTAGGTGAGACAGCGTCAGGGATGGACTCACTAATAAGCTCTGCAGATCTCTGCAGGCTTGGAGTCTGCCAGCAGCAGTCTGGAGAAAGGAACATCTCAATGTTAAGATGGATGTCAAGAACCAGAAATGTAGTGGCTCAAAAATGAGGAGTCTGGAGAAGAAGGCAGCAGAAGACTCCAGCAATGAGGCCAGTCTAGTTGGCCTTCTAGTTGGCAATCTCTTTGAAATGAATGACGTGCACTTTTTCTGGTTTACAAGTAGCTTGAACTTAACATCCTTAAAAGCATTATTATTCTTTCTTGCATTAGTGGATGTAGAGCTGGAAATAGTGACACTTAAAGTGAGAGCTTGGACTAGATAACTTACTGAGGTGCCTTCTCACCAACATTTCTGTGTTTCTATGATTTTGACATTAAATCTCAAGGTATGAAGACCTTTCTTACTGTAAGACTGTAAACTATGACTATTTATTCTGTTGACACCACATTATATGATTTTTTGAAGTTGTGACAACACTCAGTATAAAAAGAAATCATAGGCTACTATCTTTGATGGTCTGTTTTGTTTTGTTTTGTTTTGTTTTGTTTCATTTTTAATTTGGCTTTTTAATTTACATTTTAAAGACCTTAAAGTAGTGCTTATCTCTCATCAGAGGTTTGTAGAGGAAAAAAGAGAACAGACTCTGCCTAAAGGCTTCTAAGAGCAGTAAAAATAACAATAGCAATGTTTTTTAAAGGATTTATAGCTTTCCTCTTTGAGAGGGGTGGTATACTGAATCTGGACAACTTCACATCCTCTCATATTGGATCATGGCATGCTTAATGCATAGCAAAGTAATTTTTGTAGCTTGTCAAGAACAATAGCAATTAATTAATCAGCTGATGCAACTCTATCAGACTGCTTCAGCTTGTAGTGGTTTTGATATAAAAGGCTAGAGGATGGATGCAATACATTGGAATAAGTATTGCATAAGTTTGTTTATTCATCTAAGTAGCAGGACATTTGTGAAAATAAATCTGACTATTAAGAGCTAGCTTGTTCTCAACCCGTTTAAAGCTCCTGTCTGACTGGGACATTCAATTTTTAATTGCCGGTAAAAAGTGATGAAGTAGAGAACTTTGAACCTACTTGTTAAATATCCGCATTCAAAGACCTCCCCCTGTCAATGCTCACCCTCTTTATGTACATATCAAATATATAAATATCAGCACATTGTTGATGATTGTCTGCACAGTTTTGTTATATAAACAGCATAGTAGTTCATATTCAAGAAGCACTTGCCAATAATCAGAATCTAGAGAAACAAGCTGAGTGATGCAGTTTTTCATGCAATAGTCTGAGGAAACCAGGGCTCACAGAATAATGTAACACCATTGTTTGCAGATACTGTACCTGCACGGAGGCTAACCGTCCACAACTGGTCTATTTTGGGGTAGTCTCAGCAAGAGAATTCATGAATTACTGACCAGGTTAAGGTAGCATGTGTTCCTCTGTCTGCCACCACTTTAACTAGTGAAATAATCAGACAAAAATTTCTAGTGCCCATGACATGAAGATAAGATTGAAACCGAGTGCCCCTGAAGCACTGAGTGTCTGCAGACAGTCTGAAGCAGTAAGGCCAGAACTGAGAGGTTCAGAAAGCCTTCCCAGCACTTCAGCACAGCCCTATAGATCTGCAACAGGAAAGAAAAACTGGGTGCCTACTGCTGCCCCTTTGCCTCTCTGGCTGCACAGGGGAGAAGCACCCACCATTCTTTGAAGCAAAAAGGGGACCAGGGGCCATCGGCTGCAGGAGGAGAAGAGACAAGTTCCTCTCCCTGAGGCAGGGATGGCATGTGCCACATCTCAGTGCGCTCAGCATTCCAGACTAACCTGGGCTGACTGAAATTTCCTGTGATTCCTATGTATAGAGTGCATTTATTATGTATATCATATGTAATACAATTTGATTAGTGCAAAATGAACTGGAGCAATGTCACCAGGCCATTACCAGGCTTAGATAGATGTGATGCACTGCACTCAATACCGTGTTTATTCATTTCCAAGAGGGCTTTTATCTGTGAGCTAGCGTTATGATAACTCACATTGCAAAACGCTGTGTGACTATTTAACTAATTGATGTGAGTTTGGAGATATAATTCTGCTTGTGTTTATCTTGTAACTATTTATGTTAGCAGTATTACCTATAAGTAAGAATATTTTGCTCATTTTTTAACTTCACACTTCAAGATTTAGAGCTAACCTGCAAACAAAAATTAGACATATGGGACTCAGTAGAGCTTCACCAATTGATCTCCAGTTTCTTGTCCTTCCTCCAGGGAAATGTTTGCTCATCAAAGATAATTATATTTTCCTTTCTCTTTTTAAAGCCTTCTTTAAATATTTTAATTTTGTTCAGTTTCACATTATGAAAGAGGTAAGTGTTCTATTTCTCTGGCACTGTCCAAGAAATTAGGAAACTTTCACTTCTGTATAGACAAGGCCTCACATGTCTTTCTGCTTCATAGCAATAAGATAGATGGCTTGATTTCACTGACTTGTATTCTTTTTAGAGTCCTCACTAAAGGCAAAACCTAAACATAACTCTCCATTATTTTCCCTGCTCATAAGGAACTTGTATTGAGCCCAGTTCTCCTTTTCTGTTTAGACGCAGGGGCCATGATGAGATTCGCTTCTGGATACCTTTGAATTAACACTTTCGTGATACAATGATATACTCTATATATGTTTATATATACCTGAGGTATTTCCTTTAGAGCCAGAAGAACTATCAGAAGTATTATTGTGATGTTCATGTGACTTGCCACATAGGCTTATTTACCCAACACATAGGATAAATTTACCTTGGTATAAAGGGTACCTGAAGGTACCCTAGGTACTTTCCTGTACCTAAGCTATTTGGATGACAACTCAGGTATCTCCATATGTCACTTTATTGCATAGGATCTGCATATCTGTAGCGCACTCTTGTATCACATCACAGTTGCTGTCTTTTTTATCTGACCCAAAATAAATGTGTCTTTCTTGAACATTGGCAAATATTGAATACAATATTTCATATCTTCATCATTAGCACTTCACAGCACTAATGCTTCCTTTTCTCAACTTAAATATCAAAACCAATGCATACTAGTGCATGAGAGCCATCCTATGATTGACTGACATACCTACATCTTTGTTTTCTACGTTGTTTCTAATGAACCAGCCTTACTTACTGCTGAAACTCTGACAGAAACACAGCTTGAATTATAACACTACTCTGTATAAAGAATGAGATCCTCAACAACTTAAAATGGCAAATATCCATATTCTGTTTATTTTGAAGTATGAAGCTAAGAGTGTCAGATCACCTGGGATGTGCAGAGTGATAGTTACACAGCATGTTCACCAGGAAGACTCTAAAACAACTGTAGTCCACACACACTTGGAGTGGAAAAAGCCTGATGCTCTTAATCATCAGAATAGAGAGAAAAACTACTTGCTGAGACAAACACCTTCTGAAACCAAGGAACTAAAAGCAAAGGATAATCACGGAATTTGTAGAGCAAACTTGCTGTAAACCTGCAATCATCTTTGATATAGCACTGCTGAGACAACACTAGAAGTTGGTGGTTCATAATTACAGTTCAGTTTGTTTCCAAGAGTCATTTTTTGTGTAATTAAGTGATTGTTGGGCTATGTGCGAGAACATGCTGTTATGGAGGCTTTACCATCCTTTGCTTCAGGAGGGGCCACAGGAAAAGCCAAATATTCATTTCCTGGATAAACATTTGTGTTTTGTTCAACTTAGCCTCTTCAAATATATTAACTACTGCAATTTAGTTAGTAGCCACTTCCTTCAAAAAGAAAAATGCAGATGTCCAAGTCTTCTTTTGCTCAGTCTATCATATTATCTCCTTTCTGGCTTGATGTACTTGCGAGACTACTAAGGCAAGTCTCAAAGAAAACATGGATTGAGGTGACTTTCACGCATAGACAATACACTGCTGTGTACTTCTCTACTCCAAATGATCTGGAAGAGTTGAAAATCTGATCCTGTGCTTGGGAGTTTGATTGGATGATGCCCATGTCATTTTTTACGTAAGAAAGAAAAAGTAAGAAATTAAAAAGACTGCATCGGACTAATACTCGCTTTTCTCTCACCATGTTTTGTATTTTATCATTGAACATTCAACTATCAAACTATCACTAGATGCTCGAACACCTGCTGTAATAATTTTCCCTTTTTTTTTTTGTTTGTTTGTTCAATTGAAGCTGTAAATCCTGCTCACACAGTATTCTGCCTCTCCCTGGGCAGCTAGCTATTTTGATGAATTCTTAAAAGATTCAGCAATAAGATCATTCAGTTGCTACTCAGTCTGGCCATTTCTTTGTTAAGCACTACTTATGACTATGTATTTTGATGAATCTGATAATTGTATCTTCACAGACCAACAGATGCCGCCTTTAGTAGAACAACTTCCATAGCTCAGCACATTCTAGGAGAGGCACTTAACATACCTAAAGGGTAGTGCTAGGTCCTAATGCACATGGGATCATACTATCTGAGAAAGATCACGTCTTCCCATGAGCAACAAACTAACAAGTAGATTTAACCAAGTCATTTTATAAACAGCACAACACACACCTTTCATCTCAACAGGCAGCAAAGGGATTTGCTAATTCTACAATATACATCTTTAACTGAAATCAGTGTCTTTGGTCTCATTGCAGAAGTCACAGTTTTTGCAAAACTTCATCTTTATTCTCTGTATGTTTTTATTCCAGATGATGGAACGATGGGAAAATCAAGGCAGCCCACAAACAAGCCTGTCTGCTCCAGCTATGCCACAGAATATTCCCTATCCACCCACTCTTCATAGGAGCTCATTTCCCGATTCAACAGAGGCCTTTGATCCACGAAAACCTGACCCATATGAGCTGTATGAGAAATCAAGAGCTATTTATGAAAGTAGGCGTAAGTGAAAGCCCTGTTCACCCTGCTGACCATTTAATATTTTAAGCTTTTGCCTATGAATGTGTCACTGCTGACATAATTTTCCATATTTATCTTTTGTAATTTAAAGAAAGCAAATATGATCCCAGTTAATAGAGGCCATTATAAATTATTAAAAAATTCTACATGTATACATTTTCCTACATCTTGCCTAGATTCTGAAGTTTGACTTCCATATGTTTTTTCCCCTATATTTATGCTTTCCTCATTTTGACTGTTAAATCCTTAGTGAAGAACAACATGTATGCCGTCACATTTTGCTGTGCTATTTATCTTCCTAGTTGACCGATAGGAGGATGTTAATTTATCAATACAAAATTGTTTCATTTACTTTCACTTTAAAGTGAAGATTATTAAAGAAATTTCAGATTTATTTGTTTTTTAAAAATGACTTTGACAAGTTTTCAATTTGTCCTCGGTATTTAGAAAGAAACGCCTCACACTAACAAGCACTATTTAAAGTTCTATACAAAACAGTACTGAGCCATCAAGATTCTCATCTCGATTTTATTTTTCATGGTTTTGAGGGATGTACCACATATTTTCTACAAGGGTAAAAGGGATTAAACTTATTTACTTCTTATTGTAAAGAACATTTTAGCTAAAAGTGTTATTCTAAATTGTCCAGAGCTTTTACACTTATTAACATCAAAGCTTCAAAATAGCTTGGTTTTTTAATGAAAGTTTTTTCACAGCAGTTATTACTTGCACATGCCACCTTTCAATTGATTTTATAAATTACTTTAACCTATAGACCAAATTACTTTATACATAAAATATTGTACTGCAGCTGATCCAGATTAGCCCATTAATATTAGCTGGGCCCTGAGACAGAGAGATACCCCTAAACTATCATAATCCATGATCTGGAATGTACTAATTTCTTCAGCATGCAAAGGTATAGTCTGAGCTGGTGAAGGGTCTGGAGCACAAGTCTTATGAGGAGCAGCTGAGGGAACTGGGGTTCTTTAGTCTGGAGAAAAGGAGGCTGAGGGGAGACCTTATCACTCTCTACAGCTACCTGAAAGGAGGCTGTAGCGAGGTGGGGGTCGATCTCTTCTCTCAAGTAACACACAATAGGACGAGAGGAAACCGCCTCAAGTGGCACCAGGGGAGGTTTAGATTGGATATTAGAAAAATTTCTTCACCACAAAGGTTATCAAGCATTGGAACAGGCTGCCCAGGGAAGTGGTGATGTCACCATCCCTGGAGGTGTTTGAAAGACATGTAGATGTGGTATTTAGGGAACTGGTTTGGTGGGAATTGGAAGTTTTAGGTTAACAGTTGGACTTGATGATCTTAAAGGTCCTTTCCAACCTAAAAGATTCTGTGATTCTATGATTCTACATTATTGTCCCAGACACTTGATTGATGCCGCTATTTCTTGCCTTAGCCCTTTACTTACAGCATCAGCATCTTCTGTTTGGCTTTGGTGTTTCCAGTCCCCAGCAGGATGGATGTGCTGAAGGAACACCAGGGTTTGTTTTACATCAACTCTAAGTTAACTCTAACTTAGTTCCTGAATTGCATCTCAGATTCCTCAATTCTTTGCCACTGTGGCCAGTGCCACCACCTTCTGCCACTCTGCTCCATTTAATGGAACTTCTTTCAGTAGAGATTGTCACCTTAAAACTCACTTTCCATACTCCTGACCTTTTTTCGTTTTTTGTTTTTTTTTTTCCTTTGATAGGTGCCAGAAATTAAGATCTCAAGTTTAAATCTAAGTACTTAAATTACTAGCTTTTTTCAGCAACACCAAGTATCTTATTCCCCCTAAAAATGAATTTGAGAACTTATATTAGATATCGTATAAAAAGTATTTCACCTTCAATTATAAACTGTTAGGTGTAGCAACTGAGCTTGCCAGTGTATTTACAAACACTATGTAACCCATGCTGGCTGCTATTCTTTACTAAAGTAGCATCTTCCTCTGCTCCAGATGTAGTTCTTAATTGGACACAGTACTCAAGACAAAGCACAATCAGAGGCTATGGTTTTTACAACTTTAAAACTATTTGAAGTATGGATCAGGGTACAGTGTGGAGCGGGCCAGAAAGGTTTGAATGACGTAGGACTAGATTTGAACAAACTGGAAATATTTTCAGACATCTCTCCTCTGTTTTTCCCTTTCCCTTTCCCTTTCCTTTGTGCATTAAGGGCTAGAGTGACAAATAAATGGAAAGATTTGGCAGAACTGAGATGGTATTCCCCAAAGTGCTGGGATTTGGGACTATAAACAGAAATTAAAGAAGAAAGAAACAATTATGTAGTTAACAAGGGTTTTATCTAGTTCAACACCTCTATTGAATATGTTCTTGACTTCATATACTGCTTTAAGGAAAGGAAAGCCCTTTGCAAATAACTGTGTCTCTTACAGGTAGTTTCTGGAAGTGAAATATATTAGCAAAGATCTGCACTTTCCATTCAGCAGAGTCAGAACCATCTTTTGTGGATAAACCCATCAATCCAAGAGTGGAAAAGCACACATTACAGACTTCCTGCATTGAAACAAATATCTTTGTAAGACAACTAAGAAAAGGTTATACATGCCATATGGATACATATGTGTATCCCTGGGGTGGGGGAGTGAGCAACTGTGTAGGGTTTGGTTGCCAGAGCAGCCTAATCCACAACAATATGGAACCATATACTGGATACATATTTATACAGCATCTGCTTTTGTCTTAATCCCCAATATGAAGAGTTCTATATTTACAGAATTACCCAAATAGTCTCAATGCATGTTTACACTTCATAAAACTGTGGGAATATAGATCTGACGTCAACTACCAAGACTGCCTTACACCCAAAAGACGGTATATTACATCAAAAGATATATTACACCATTCAATAAAAGAATTAAGTGATCCATTATTATTCATGGATGCCTTCTATGAGTGTCCTGCAAACTTCCTTGACCAACCTGAACTCCAGTCTTTTATTGATATAATCTGGTGCGTTCAGGATCATATGCTACACCAGAGGAAGAGTTGATAACTCATAGGTTTGGAGTTAAGCTGAAGCTTGTGTTTAAATGGTTTGATTGCATTTGAGTTCTGTCCAAGAGGCAACTGGAAACTGTACACAAGCCTTTTTCAACCAGTTGCATAAACAAGACAACAATTAAAAATCATGAAGCTGTTAGGCCCAAAACAAGAAAGTAAGGGATGAAAAGCAAGAGGGCAGTAACCACTTATTCCAGATTTTTATTCCAGATCAGGTGTCCTGATCTTCTAGCTAATCCTGAAAGCTTTAATTTGTTGCCTTCTGACGCTAGTATCCTTTGAACATTTTCTCTAAGCCTTGATTGCACAGTTCCCAACCAGATCTCTTTTGCACTCATTCATTTCCCTTGGTCATAAATAGCTGCCTCCAAACATCTCTGTTCTTGCTGACATTTTTGTTTCTTGAATGCCATAAGCACACATTTTAGCAAATTCAATTTGTCAGTCCCTTGATTGCTGTTGTTCTCTACATAGTGCTAGTGTTTCCTGAAGTGAGAGAAACAACAGTCAGGAAATCCATTACTGAGTCAAGAAATTGTCATCTAAATTGAGTATATGGAAGGGAGAGTTTCAAGATAATACACACTTAGTTTCCTAACATATGGAGGTGTCAGGTTGGTTATCTTTGGTAAAGACATTCCCTTAAAGTGCACACGAAAAGTTCAGCTACTTTGGATATTTTTAAGTACTTCTTATCTCAAAGCAAGTTTGCCTTATTTCCTGGCAAGACCAGAAAAGAAGGAGGTTCATCTTCCAAAAATAGTGCAAAGAAGCGAACAATCATGACCTGGAAAACTCAGAAAGAAAGAGGGAGTGTTAGGTTTTTGTTTCTCTCACAGTGAGACTCTGTTATTACACAGTTCATTTTCGTACTGCTGTAGCTCTGAATTTCTACAGATCCTTTTATCAGAGGATCTCACCACAGTCAGCACTCACCAGGATCTCATCAAAGCCTCCTGCTTCCCTGTCAGGGAGTTGCGCAACTTATGCATTGCAGTGTAGTTCTATGAG